GCTACCTTATCTAGTTTATTAAGTATAAAAAATTGTATCCAGGTCCTCTTACATGCTAGACAGGTACTATACCAGCAAAGCTACATTCTGAGCCCACAGTATGAATTTCTTTCATAGTTAGATTGCGATATCTTGTTACTATTTCTAACATATTGGAGGCTATACAAACATTTAACAGTCATCATAATTCCCATGTGGGTTTTCTTGCTCTGGGAACAAGCCTATTCTGGTAGAAAGGACCTAACTTGAAACTTCTGCAGCCTTTTTAACCTTCAAATCATAAATGAAATTGTCTGGGTTTTTCAGAGTTGAGTACCTCTGTTAAGACTTCAAGGTACAGAAGTGGAGATTCCTGTCACATACACCTCCATTTAACTTTTTTTGACTGATAAAAAAGCCAGATGGATTTTACAGACAAACTTGGATTAGTACAAACTTAATCAGCAATGATAACAATCACAGCTGTTATACCAGATGTGGTTTCTTCCTTGGAATAAATCAACATTGCCTCTGGCTGCTGATATGCACCATGCACCCATTGATTGAGTAAATGCTTTCTTTGTGATGTTCATCAATAAAGATAATCAGACAGAGCTCACCTTCTTCTAGGGAAGCAGTTGCCCTCACTACTTTATCACAGGATTACACGGTGCTCTTGCTTTTTAAAACAATAGGATCTGGGGAGATGTGACTACTCAGATACCCTACACAGTATCACACTAGACTATCTCCCTAATAATCTCATGTTACATAGACCTGAGAGCTTGTATTATGAACAACTTAGTAGCCAAGATTAGGAGCATGATGAGTACATTCACATGTTCTTTCTGTTGGGGAAACTCGTAAAAGAGATGGTGTCTGAGAACATTAGGAAGCGTCTTTCAAAGTAAGAGACCAGTCAGATGGGCTTGTTTCTCAATAATCTCTTGGTTATAGTATAATACACTGTATTACCTGCCCTGACCTACTCTCCTGATACCTTTCTAGTTAACTTTGAGAGAATTTTAAGGAGCAAGAGAAGGCTTAAGGATGAATAAGCTAGGGTAGAACTAACTCTGTACTTGGACTGTATTACCCAGTTGACTCAGTGTTACTGAGAGGCAAATAATTTTCACAGGCTCAGTAAAGCCTCAGTGAAGAATGAGACACAAACCTAGAGGTTTTGAGAAAGAACTGGTAATTACCGTTGGGTTACTTATGAGCAAGGTAACTGACATAAGTAACTTAAGGGGGGAGGATTCGTCTTGAATCACTATTTCTGACTGTTCTGTCCACAGTTTCTTGGAATCATATACTTCAGCATAGCATCATGGCAGTGAGATCACGTATAAAAAAACAGTTTTTCACATAGTAGACAGGAAGTAGTAGTAGGAAGTGACCCAGGGGCCTGACTTCATGATCTACTTCTTCCAGTAGATTGCATCTGACAAAGTCCAGAATTTCTTAAAATAGAAAATCAGCTGACAACTACATATCTAAAACATAAATCTGTGAGGAACATTTTAGATTCAAAAGCTAGCAACAGGAGAGCTGCCAATGACAGCATTTCATATCTGAAAAGTTGTTCTTGCTTGGATCCCAGGCTCTAGGACAGACAGAATGTTATGATACAACTTTATAAATTAGGATTTATCTGCCCTGGTAAACCATAAATTTTTCTTTGAATATGCAGAGAGCTCATTTCATTATGAAATGGAAATTGTATAAGTGAAAGACTAGGTCTGAGGAGGCATGCGTGTCTGTGACTTAACTCAGCTACCCATGAGACCTACTACAATAGCTTTGCTTCTTCTCCTGCAACACCCACTAAAGGACATAGAGAGTGTTTCCAGAGAAAGGAAAGTATGAGTCTGGCTTATAGATGGACTACCACAGCATGTTTCCACAAGCCTAAAGTGATGGCTATGATGACTACTCTATTATAGCTTGGATATTAGTGGTCAGAATTTCCTATAACAGTCTTGGTTTTCGATGTCATGCCATGGAAGATGTCTTGATGTCTCTGTAAGCTTCCATTCTCTGGTATAAGTAGATTGTCTTTTCCCATGGAAGTGATCATCAATGGATGGCTGTCATAGTTGAGAGCAACTATGTTGAGACAAGAAGTTGCGAGCAACAGGAAGAAGCCATGAACAGTATATCTCCCAGACCTACTCCCAGGGACTTATTTCTTCCATCTAGCCCCTATCTTATAAATTTTTCAGAACCTCTCAAAATAGAACCACCAAATAGAGATCATACATCTAAAATATGAGCCTGTTGGGACATTTCAGACCCAAAGTATCATACAAGGGCAGCTATTACTGGCAGGAAGCAATGGTAAAGCACACAGCAGACCAAGAGTTTTAACTACTCATGTTTGGTTTTGGTGCTTCATTGTCCTCTTTTAGCTCTTTCAACATTTCCTATAGTGCTGTAAATATTGTTTTCATTAACCAAGTCAATTAATTCTCCTTGCTGTGCCATTAGTAGTTTGTTTTCTGCCAGGACATAGACTGAGATACTTCATAAATTACTGTGAAATCTACTTACTCCAAATCTCTATTAGTACGCACACAATCCAATATTAGCACCAACTCTCCTCTGACTACTGCTTCTAAAAGGATTTCACTCTGGTTACCTTACTATTGCCATTATGTTTTATAGATGATTACTGATTCTACACATTACTTCTTTCTACAGTAAGGTTAGATATATCTATTGCTCTGCTTGCTAGAGAGAGAGTACACAATACATACTTTCTAGATTATCAACTTAGCAATTGTTTTTACAGCTTGTCCCAGCCAATGGGAAGCAAACTATAGAAGATAATACTCAGAGGCTCTAAATATAGTTTTATGACTCTATCTTCCCTCTTGAACTTTTACATTCACATGAGAAAACCAAGCCCTGGCTGTAGAATAAATGATACATGATATCAACCTGAAACTTCAGGGTGTGTGTGTGTGTGTGTGTGTGTGTGTGTGTGTAAGAGAGAGAGAGAGAGAGAAAGAGAGAGAAACAGAGAGAGAGAGAGCTTATATCTACTTATATAACTGAAAGAACTAAAAGAACTATAAAAGTCCCTGTTGTAGGGACTCTGAAGTATTTCAAAGATATGACTCAAGGTGAAACATGTTTTAAATTGTACATGAATTACACAAAAGGTCATATATCTTTATATCTCCATATCCTATCATCTATCTATCTATCTATCGATCTATCTATCTATCTCAGGAATAATGGTACATGACTTTAATCCCAGCACTTTGAAAGGAGAAGCAGATGTATCTGTCTGAATTTAAGGCTAGCCTTGTCTATATAGTAAGTCCCAGGCCAGCAGGATGACCCAGTAAAATCTTCCTCAAAAAGTTGTCAAAATGACATTTTAATACAATAATTTTGTTAATTCTCAAGCATTTTATAAATGCATGCAATGTACTTTTATCATATTCATCTATCACTCCTCCCAACTCTTGAAAGACCCACCCCTACCCACTCCTATCTACTCTGTAGGCTTGCAAGCTCATTCTACTCCATGCTGGAATGTTGACTGGTTTGATCTTGTATAGGTCACGTGTAGACAATCACAGCTGGTTTGAGTTCCTGAGTGCAGACACACAGTCATGTCCAGAAGACACAGCTTTCCTTTTGTCTTTCCTAATGTCTAAATCTTACATCTTGCCATCCCTCTGTTGTGGTAGTTCCTGAGCACTACAGACAAGGAGAGTCATATAGATGTCCCAGTTTGTGGCTGAATACACCTCAGACATTTATTCTCTGTACTTAGGCAGATTTCTGAATTAATCACCACCCACTAAACAGAGAAACTTCTCTAATGAATACTGAGAGCTACAAACAGTTTTATTTTTAAAATGCAAATATTTCATAGTTTCTTCATGGTTGAGACAAATTAACACAAGAAAGAGTAAGTACTTGAATTTATACATGGCCTGATCTTGAATATTGCCTCAGACAAATGCTTGTATGACCTTAGAGATTTTTGTACTCAGAGTTTCTATTCCTCTGTCTTCACATATTAATCTTACTGATTTCAAAGACTACTGGGTATAATTATGAGAAAATGCATGTTAAAATATCTGTAATTAATTGTTCTCTAGTTTCTCCTTATGTTAAAAGTATCTCATGAATATATAGTTTAGGAACTGGGGAGGTATCTCAGTTAGTAAAAATGCTTGCCACGCAAACATGAGGACCTGACATACAACCCATGTTAAAAAGCTTGGTGTGCTCTTGTAATCCCAGTGCTAGTGAAGCAGAGACATGCAGATACTTGAGATTTAGTGGCCAGCCTGCCTTGCTTGATTGGTGAGTTCCAAGTCACTGAAGAATTCGTTTATCCAAAATAAAAATGGGCAGCACCTTAAGAATGACCACCAATAATGGTGACATCCAAGCCCAGGATGCTACTGAGGACATGACTGGGTCTGTGGTTTTATCGGCACTGGGTTCTGTGTTGATGTTCAAGGCCCATGATATCACCAAAGGTCACATGGATGCCTGGTGTCTGGGCTACAACTTGTGGCAATGTTGGTGGGTGGCCTGGGCTGTGACCTGGTGCGTTGGTGTCATTCAGGCCTGGGCTGTGACTGAGGGCCATGTCTAGGCCCATGGCCCAGTAGCAGCCAGAGTTTGGGTTAATGTCCATGGCTCCTGTAGCCACTGGGGACTGAGAAGTTGCCCGGGGACTGGACAGCCACTTAAGAAAATGTTAGTGTCCGAAGGCCTTCCTGCTGCCACAGCCATATTGATCTGGGTGGATTATGCTGCCATTGGGGGCATGGTGATAACTGGGGCCAGGTTGCTTCCGATGTCTGGATCTATGTTCCTATTAAAGCTGTAGTCTGTGATGATGTTCATGGCTGGTGCTACCACAGGGGTTATAGGAACTATGCTTGTTGAAATTCGAGGGTTGTGCTGAGTCAGTCCTGCCTCTTACTTGTCTTGGGATAGCTGGTACTATAGTAGGAGAGCTGGTCCTGACTACCCCCCCCCCACAGGTGCACTTGGATGAGAAGGCCCCACCCCTCACCACTGTCATGGGAAATCTTGTCCCAGTGTCATTGGCCTAGGAGAGATGGCTCTGCCCCTCACCTGAGGGGGCAGTTCCAGTGGCCAGGACCAACCAACTCAGCTACCACCCAGAAAAACATCCTAAGCCTCCGGTTAGCCCACCCTAGTGTCTGCCCCCATCTATGCCTGCTGGAGTGTGTGAAGGCCCTGTGGAACAATAACTGTAGGATCTCCATGACTTGGGGCAACAGCAGGATATTCAAGAAGAGTTTCAGTGAAGGGTCCAGTGATGACTGCATGCCCAAGGCCTTGAACCAGACCAATAACTCATTGCAATTTACATTTTGAAGATGGATTTAATTGGAGAAAAGGATATACTACATGACACATTGCAGCATCCAATGCCACTAGGATGAATGAAGAGTTGTTGGAAAGATTGCGGAGCAAGGTGGGTTTTGTTTGTTTTGCTTTTAATTAATTTGGGGAGACATGTTGCAGGGGTGAGGGGTTAAAATGTGAGTGGAATTTGAGTGCTTGATGTGAAAGTCCAAAAGTATAAATAAAGAATTATGTATAAAAAATATTTGTAGAACTATTCCATCATTAAAATATTGTAATTTCATCAAGTTGTAAACATATTGTCATCCAAGAATACAGGAACATGGGCCAATTTCAATAATAAAATTAATTAGCAAATTTAGAAAATGACCACTGAGTGTAACCTCTAGCTTCCACATGTATATACACATAACCCCAACCATTTATATATGCTTCCACATGTGTGCCAGTCATTTGTACACATTTAAATATGTATATCTCCAAGGAATAAAATAGGAACTGGATCAATGGCTCCGCAGTTAAGAGCACTTGTTTCTTTCCAGAGGACCAAAGTTCAATTCTCAGTACCGACATAGTGGCTCACAACCATCTATGACTCCAGTTCCAGGGGATCTGATACACTATTCTGACCTCCGCAGACACATACATTGTTTACATACATACATGCAGGCAAAGAGTCAAGTGCATAAGATGTAAATAAACAAATCTACAGAAAAGAAAAGAATTAAAAACTATAGAAAAGAAGAGAAGAAAAAGGATATTTCCATTGCATCAAGCCTCTGGGAAGGCTTTGCCAAGTGAATGACTATTCATTTCAAGCAATATTAAAAGTGCAGATAGTTTATTGTGCTGGTATATTTCACCCATTGGTCATTTTTATAAAGCTTCGTAGGTACTGTGATTAAGAACCAACAGTAAGCATCACCAACTTAAGTTTCATAAGAATTGTAGTATCCTCATAAGATATCTTAACGTAAATTTTTCTAGGTGGTTTGAAATCGTTGGTATGGCTATCCTGTTTATATCCAGTTCAGGTTTCTAAATAATTCCTAAGAAACCTGGCCAATGTTTTTCATAAGGATATTTTTGGAAAAAAAAACACATAAGAAGGTAAAGGAGTAAATCAGGAATGACATAAGCAGGTGACAACTCTTTACCTATCCTGTTAAAAAATCACAGTGAACAAAAGAGATGGGTGAATTTGGAATCTTTTCCTGGGAACTGCTATATGTCTTTTACTTTCTGTGCTCTGTGTTCAGAAAGAGGAAGGTAGCATGGCACTAAGAAACCTACTTGCCTGATGTTTCAAAATTGAGTTTTCTGATGCAGAAAGCTTCAGTGGCTACTGGGCGAAATATTAAATGAATTCTGGACAAAGATCTCTGACCCAAAGCAAAAGTATCCACAAGCAGCCATCAATCTGCCAACCTCCACTCTCTGTCTGAGCAGAGTGTGATGATTTCATGGACCACAGAGCCTGTTCATCTGGGAGTACTGCTAGCATCATTTCTGTTAAATGGGAAAGGGAATCAATGGTCACAGCTTGTCATGATTGTGCTCCAAAGGACCATATTTGACGAGCATTGAAGATGAAGGAGGTTGGCCAGTAGGAGGCGGCTCTGATTGGCACCTGTGGATGAGCAGTTGTGGAAGCACAGCCCTAATATATACAGTAGCTGGAACCACCAATTGTCCGGTAAGAAATGCTGTGTAGTCTCTATAGCAAGGAGATAAATCCCTCAGTGAGCCACAGACAAGCCACCAAAGCCATAGCTATTTGATATTTTTAGGTCTTTTGTGTAGTACCTTAAGTCCCACACTGTATGGAGTTGTCACAATAACTGAGAGACACTAGTAGAATGCTAAAGAGATAATTAAATAGGAGAGTGTGTCGGAGCTCTTAGGCCTCATATTTAATAGGCTTTCCATAAGCCTATTATGCTGAAACTGTTATTAAAAAGAAAGTTTTAACTCCTAACCCATGTAGCTAAAGTCACACAAATATCTCTAGACACTATGGCTTTAATAATAAAATGAATACCCGAGTAATGTGATATGTTTTTAAGTATGTTTGCAAGGTCATACAGGCAATATGATTTGTAGTTATCCAGATTCACCATGGAAATGGGTCAACTGATTGTGTTTGATTATTTTAAGAATGAAAATGACCAGAATTTATCCAGTAGCTCCAATAGTGTCCTCTTGATAAATGGTCATCTATTTTTCAGCTTCCTTGGTCACATTCTTCTGGTTCTGTTGCTTGTGGATAACTCAGTGTTTTCTAATCCATCTAAGCCTCCTTGGAGCTAAACTGCCTGTTTTACAGGAAGTTGATTTTTAAATGAGACACAAAGTTCTTTTATTCATCATTTTAGAGAATTGTTAGTGTCTCTGGCTTGTTTTGCAGCTCCCTTAAAGACAAAGGTTGCTGTGACATTTATTATCACCCTTGCATCTTGTGAATATTTATTTTCAGTTTAAAGAAACCATTGAAACCTCTCTCCATAGAGATTCTGACCCCACAGAGCCTTCCAAAATAGATTTTAATCTTTTTGCAGCTAAGCTGGCTGACTAAATGACTGAATTGGTCAAATTTCTTTCTCTTGTCTTCTCATCTATTCTATGTCTCCCTGCTACTGAAAAAGCCCTTGTGCAAAGCATTATTTCCCAAAGTAATTTTGGAACCCAAAATTTGAGTTTCAGTAAAAGAAAAGTAGGCATAAGAAGAATAACATTCTTCAAGCATCCATTAGGCTTGGTTAGCACAAGGCAACTCAACATCAAAGCCTTTATTTGAATGTTTTAAGATTGAGGCATGACGGCTTTGAGACTACTGTTTTGATTGTTTTGACAACTGCTCTAGAAAATCACTTAGCTGTTTGTTTTTTACTGTAGATAAAATATTTTAGTTCCCAGGAAAATGAATGCACTTCTGATAAATGCTAGAATTGTACATCTTCGATTCAGATAGCTGGAATAGTAAGGCACCTAATTGACCTCAATAATTTGTGCCTACAATCATTTGGAGTGTGCGTGCATGCGTGCGTGTGCGTGTGCGTGTGCATGTGCGTGTGCGTGTGCGTGTGCGTGTGTGTGTGTGTGTGTGTTTCATACATGTATATGCATGTATATGTATACAACATGTGTATTTGTGTCTGCACATGTATGTGTACATACCTATCCACTGTGTGTGGCAACCAGAGGAGGACTTCAGATGTCTAACTCTGTACCTTATCCCCTTGAGAGAGTTTCTTATTGAACCTGGAAATGACTATTTTCCAGATAGGTTGGCTGCTAAGCAAGCCTATGATCATTGTGTTTCTGATTTTGCTATCTCTTTCCGCAGTGCTGTGTTTGAAAGTATCTGTGGCTGTCCTGAGTTTTTACATGGGTGCTGGTAACCTGAGCTCCAGTCTTCATGCTTGTATAGGAAGCATGCTTATCAAGACATCTCTCAACCTCTAACGACTTCTCTCTATTCTTACAAGACAATATACATCACCGGTCTCAGAAGACAGCAAAAATAGCCATTTCATTCCCTTAAGAATGTGAGTTGCTTGTCCTTGGTGTTTTTGTTGCTTGGTCCCATGTGGAAACATTTGTTCTGTAAAAGAAGCAGTACAGCTCCAAAAATTTGTGAGTTCTGTGTTCTGATAAGATGTATATCACAATGAGCTGATTTATGATTATGGACAAGTCATAAAAGTTTCAATCTTAAAAAAAAGGCAGGAAGGGTGCTCACATATCTCTTATGGTTTGATCTATCCCCACCAGTAATCTTCCTTTTTTTAAAACTTTAAACAAAATTTTATTTCACAAAAGTTGTCACATAATTGGCTAATTCTCTACTTAGTATACAATTATTCTCACTCTCCATAGAAAGGCTGTTTCTGAACTTCTCATCTGGTTACACAAGTGCTACAATCCTGACTGTAACAGAATAGCAGAACTGCCTCAGTTACTTAAGTTGAAAGCAGGACACTGGTATATGGCTCTTGCACCCAGTATCAGGAATGTACAAATGTCTTTATTCAAAAATACAAAATAAATTATCTGTAGGCATGAAAGTGACAGCAGTAAACCATTATGTATAGTCAATGGGAACCAGTAACTGATGGTTATAGTGATCACCCAGCCTTCTCTTCAGTCATTTTCTTCAGGTGACTTCTCTGAAGTTATTGCTGAGGAACCTGCCTTGAGCTTCCTGTCACAGTTCATTGATAAGAGTAAAGCCACTATTCTAGGAGTGAGAACATGCCACCTCCTATACCCACTCCCATTCCATCCATTGCGCCCATTCCAGAGTCTTTCTCTAATTTAGGAATTTTGGTCACTACAGTTTCTTCTGTAGTGAGCAAGGAGACCACCCCAGCAGCATCCAGTAAAGCAGTTCTTACAACCTTTGTTGGATCAATGATTCCCTTTTCCACTATGTTCACAAAATCTCTGAGCATAGCATCATAACCAACTTCTGAGGAACTCTGTAGAATTTTCTCAACTATCAAACATCCTTCAACACCAGCATTCTTAGCAATTGTCATTGCAGGAATTTTGAGTGCTCTTTTAATAATTTCTATACCTATTTTCTGATCCTCATTAGAAGGACTTAATGAATTCAAGGCTGGGATGCATCGAAGAAGACTGCAGCCCCCTCCTAGAACAATGCCTTCTTCAACAGCTGCTCTTGTAGCATTAAGAGTATTTGTAACTCTGTCTTTCTTCTCATTCACTTCAATATCACTTGTTCGTCCAACCTTCAGCACAGCTACTCCATCTAAAAGTTTAGAGAGTCTTTCATTCAGCTTTTCCTTTTCGTATTCACTAGTTGTGATGTCTAGCTCCTGAGTGATTTCTTGAAGGCATTTCTCAATTTTAGCTTTGTCACTCCTTCCTTTCAAAAGCATGGCATCATCTTTGGTGACAATGACCTTTTCAACTTTTCCTAACTCATGAGCTTGAACATCTTCAAGATTTAGATTTAGTTCCTCTTCTCCAAATACTGCACCACCAGTAGCAATAGCCATATCTTTAAACTGGTTCTTCCTGTTGTCCCCAAAGCCTAGAGCTTTGACTGCTACAACCTGAAGACCAACTTGATAATACCTTAATAGCTATTGATCTGAATTCAGTACCTCACTGTAGATTCCCATGATGAAATTTATGTCAACTACAAGGTAAGAGATTCAGCTAGCACACATCAAGGGCTTTGTAGGATACTGGGATATTTGAGAATATTACATTCACTGTGCTTTATCTATGTGTTGTCTATTCATCAAAATGGCTATGTTCTCACAAAGCAAACTTTGTAGTAAGTATTGACAACAGTGTTACCTTGTTTTGTACAATAGTGTGGGAAGAGGAGCGATGTTTATGCAAAACATGATGCAAATATCCAAGGATGTCCAGCTTCCCACCCCATAATATACCTCACTTTATCCTCCTAAAATGATATCCACCTAAGAGGCCTTGGATTTCTTGAGAATTCATTTGAATCAAGTGCATTAACCAAGGCAAATTATATGAAGTATTCATCTTTATTGTTTTTCACAGGTGGCATGGCCCATGCTACTGTAGTGTACTATATGCTCAAACTTTACTGAAAAGTTTCAAATAGAAGCTCCTTTCCCAATACATGGGCATTTCACCCCACAGTCAGATCAAAGTATAGATGATGAAAAGGTACCATTGGCCAACATTGTGTTTTATCTTTATGTGATAGCACAAGAGTTTTAATTTTCATTTCTACCAATAACTTTAATTAAGAAGATTTTGAGCATTCTCTCAATAAGGGAGTTTACTTTGCTTATTATAATTAACAATGTAATAATTTGTTTTGGTTGGGCAGTGGTGGCTCATGCCTTTAATCCCCGTGCTGGGGAGGCAGAGTCAGGTGGATTTCTGTGAGTTCAAGACCAGCCTGGTCTATAAGAGCTAGTTCCAGGACAGCCTCCAAAGCCACAGAGAAACACTGCCTTGAAAAACCCAAAAAATAAAAAAAAATTAATTTCTTTTTGATCACTTTGAACTCATGTATTTTATGCATTTCATTTTTTATTTTAAGAGTTTAATAATGCTTCTAACGCAAGGATAATTTATATGTATTTATTTATTGGTCTAGCTACACACACGACTATACGTGTATATATATGCAATATATGTATATATGTAGTTTTGGTGGTATGTGTGTGTGTTTGGTATATGTGTGTGAATGTAGTATGTGCGTGGTATGAGCACATATGTGTGCTTATACACTCTCCCATGCATATGCCTGAATAGGTCAGAAGAGAATGTTCTATCATTTTCTGCCTTTTACCCTTGACACTAGGCTGACAGCTGACAAGGTCCTGTGACCCTTTCTGTTAATTCTCTTCACAGTGTTGGAACCATAGACACATGGGATTCAAACTCAGATCATCATGCTTGCATAGCAAGTGTTCCTATTCACCAAGCCACCTTTCCTGCCTGAGTAAGGGCAGTTTCACAGTTTACTTTATAATTCTTGTAAATTATTGAGGTTAAATAATGGGTAGAGAAAATGGAAGTGCACTTATGCCTGAAGATTTGATTTTAGCCCTATTTTTTTCTGTAAACCTCTTTAAACACAAGTTTCTTTAGAGCCAAAATTGTGCTGGGGTGGGGGGTGTGGATCACCTGACCAAACACACAAAATTTATGAGAATCAAAGGAATAACAGTGATTGCTTTGAAAACTCTGAAGAATTGCTCAGCCACGAATAATTACCATAAGCAAGTAGAATTATTATAGAGGACAGATTCATCAGTTGCTCATTTCATGGGTTTGGATTTCAGTTTTCTACAACAGCATGTGAGTTGCGATTATTAACCTTTCTGGTTTGAAGTGGTGCTATCACCTCTATTAGTTGTTTTCTTTGTTGCTGTGACAAAATAGTTGCCTTACACTTTGAAGGTACAGCTCATCTTGTCAAGGAAGACATGGTGGAAGGAATGTGAAGTTGTTGGTCATACTGTATCTACAGTTGAGAAGCACAGAGAGATGAGTACTGATGTTCAATTTACCCTTTCCTTTCCTCCCTTTTGTTAAGTCCAGAATTCCAGCAATGGTGGTACCACTTGCACTTAAGATACATAGTCTCTCCTCAGCGAATCCTCTCTGGAAATGCCCTCACAGACGCACACACAGGTATTTTTCCAAGGTGATTCTAAATTCTGACAATGAAGATTAACCATCACATAAGTGCTCTCTCTCTCTCATCTCTTAGATGTTGAATTAAAATTTGAGATGATTTGAAGAGCAAATGTATTTGAAAGAGAATACTAATATAAAGAGAAGAGGCTATTTTTAGAATGCCTAGCTAGGCAACCATTCATGGTTTTAAGTGTGTAAATTCTTTACTAGAGACCTGTTGCTCAGTTATACTCTAACCACATGCCAAAATGAGGTGCTCTGCATTCCACTCTGGAACCTCAATACAGATGGCATCTATTCTCCACTTACAGAAAACAGGAAGATGTCAACAAAATCAAATGCTGATTGGCTTTCCTCAAGTATCCTGCTGAGAAGCATTTTTCACAGACCATAGTATTTCAATGTCTAGTCATTCAACAAACACTGACCACTGACTCTCAATGTATCTGAGTGTGAATTTGACATTCTAAATAACATAGATGCAGCTTTTGCCCTTCAGGAAAACGCTGTCTAAATGATGATGAATACATGTAAATAAAATACAGTCACATGGTGCAGTCTACATTATGTTTCTGATACTGTAAAAAGGAGTGTCAGAGACAATGATGAAAGGGCAGTTGATGCTCTATGAGCCCTGAGGATAATTCATTCAGGAAGATGTTGCATTTTGTCTGGAAAGAAGGGGAGACCAGGATATTGTATGTCAAAGGGAAACATAATGCTTCTAAACTTCCTTTATAATATATTTCCTATTATCAATATTTAGTCCTATGTTACTTAAAGTAGTCATCTCTATACCTTCATTTACTTTAAAAATAGTGTTTGATGTTTGTGATTTGTTACAAATCCTAGCTACCAGCCAGTTAAGCATCAAGTTCCAGAAGCTAGAACAATTAAAAAAATACTTTGCTGACATAATTCTTACTTGTTATGGAAATAATTCCAGATGTCTTAACACCCACTTAAATAATAAACCCATCATATTTTCATAGTAAAATATTTTGAAATTATTACAGATGCAACTGGTCAATCTCTTAGCCAATTTTATTTTTTTTTAAAAAATTCACTGTGAGCTGTTATCCAACAAATAAACTCTAGTTGGGGAACTGTTAGGTAATGTGGATAAAAGCATGCTACAGTTTGGATTTGAAATGTCCCTACTTTGTGTCTTTTTTTAGTCTTCAGTACAGTAATAGTCACAGGTGGTACTTTTCACATGTGATTGGATTGTGATGTCACCAGTGGTTTAATTCATTGATGGATTAAAAATATGAAGACATTCTTTGCAGGTGGTAAAAAATTAGGAGACGAGATCTTGCTGCAGGAATGCTACTGGGGCCATCCCCTAGAAGTGCATATCTGATACCCCCTCCTATTTCCCCTTTCCTACCCCTTCCCTTGCTTTCACTTACACTTCCTTCCTCCTCCTCTCGTCTCCTCTGTCCTCCTTTCATTTCCTCTCTCTCCCTTCCCTCTCCTCTTATCCTTTCCTTTTATCCCTCCCTTCTCCTGTCTCCCATTAAATGAGCCATTTTTCTTTATCAAATGTTCCTTGCCATGACCTCAACACAGGCCCAGGAGCAGCACTGTCAGGTAACCATGGACTGAAAACTCTGAACCCATGAGCCTAAAGAAACATTTCCTCCTTCGCTTGTTTATCTCTGGTACTTTTCCGTTATAATGGACAGACTACTGGCACAAAGTCTGTTCATTCAAATGTTATCACATAGTTAAACTGTTCAGTGAGCATCCACAATAGCAACACCTCGTTTTACAAAGTTACTTTCATTTTTTGAGGAATGATTGTGACTTCAGCAAGCAAATAGCTTGAAAAACATGTCTTTGACCTGCCTTAAGGACTAAGTTACATAGAAATTGAGTTTGAATGTAACTGATGTGTCCTAGACCAATGGCAGCATTCCAGAAGATGCTTCAAAATTTGGACTTTACTCAATTTGCTCTTTAACTCATCCCCCCTCTCTCTCTCATGAGTTGAGTTTTCTTACAACATCTAATTAACTAGACAGTGAATTATACTAAATGCTTGAAGAATCAGAAAAACAAAAGACAAACAGCTCAAATGATTGAGCCTGAGTGTTTGAGTTCAATATATCAGAGTGCTTGGTCTCACAATACTGTATGGCCATTAAAACCACAGTGTTTCAAAGGGATGGATCCTATTGTCCTTGAGTCCTTCTGGCATCACCAGAGACAATGATAATGCCAAATTATCATCCTCTCTTCTTTGTGTGTGCATGTGTGCAAACTAACATGTTGTAGGTACACACATGTGTGTGGTGTGTATGCAGGTGTATATGTGTACATGTGGAGATCAGAAGATAACCAGTGGTATGGTTCCTCTGCTGTTATTCAACATTTTCATTTTGAGACACATTTTCTATTTCTGTCCCCAAACTTGCTAAATAGGTTAGAATGGTTAGCTGAAGAACCCAACAGATCCATCCATTTGTCTCTGTCTCCCCACCAGGAATCACAAGCTGGAATCACTGTGCTTGCCCCCCTTTTGTTTTTTGAGACAGGTTTCTCTATATTGCTTTGGAGGTTGTCCTGGATCTCACTCTGTAGACCAGGCTGGCCTCAAACTCACAGAGACCCACCTCCCTCTGCCTCTGCCTCCTGAGTGCTAGGATTAAAGGTGTGCGCCACCAACTCCCAGCTTGCTTGCCCCCTTTTTAAAATCAATTAATATATTTAGAATCCTGACTGTAGTTTCCCCTCCATCCTTTCTTCCCATTTCCCCACTCACCTGTGCTCTTCCCCCAATGCCCAATCCATTCCTCTGTTTATGTTCAGATAGGGTAGGCTTCTCACAGATATTGTGACATGTTAAGTTTCAGTAAGATTAAGCACCTCCCTTGTTTTTTGTTTGGGCAAGGCAATTCACATCCAGTATGAGGAATAGGTTCCCAAGAGCCAACTAAAGCCTTAGGAATGGCCCCTGATCTCGTTAGGAGTTCCACAAGTAGATTAAGCTACAAACTGTCACAAATATGTAGAGGGCATAGAGAGGTCCCACACAGGCTCACTACTTACTGGTTCAGTCTCTTTGAGTTCCTATGAGCCTAGGTTAGTTGCTTCGATGGGTTTTCTTGTGATGTCCTTGACCCCTGGCTCCTACAATCCTTCCTCCCTCTCTTCATCCTGATTCCCTAAACTTGACCTTATGTTTGGCTGTGGATCTCTGCAGCTGTTCCCATCAGTTACTGGATGAAGGTACTCTGATGACAATTGGGATAGTGACAGGTCTTATCACAGGAGATGGCCAGTTCAGGGTACATATTCACTAGTGCTAAGAGTCTTAGCTGGGGTCATTCTTGTAGATTTGTGGCAGTTTCCTTGTACCAGGTTTCTACCTGACCCTGAAATATCCCCCCCTTTCCAGTCCCATCTTTCACTATTCTCTTTTTCCATCCATCCCCCAACCTGATCCTCATGTTCCTATCCCGTATACCCCAATCCACCCGGAGATATCTTCTATTTTCCCTTCTCAGGGGTTGTAAATGTATACATTCCTTTTTGGGCCCTTCTTGATGCTTAGCCTCTCTGGGCTTGTGAATTGTAACACAGTTATCCTTTACTTTATAGCTAATATAAAATTATGAGTGATTACATAACATGTTTGTTTTTCTGAGTCTGGGTTATCTCACTTAGGATATTCTATCTATTTGCCTTCACATTTCCTGATGTTATTGTTTTTAACAGTTGAATAATTCTCCATTGTATAAATGTACCACATTTTATTTATCTGTTCTATGCTTGAGGGGCATCTATGTTGTTTTCAGGTTCTGGCTATTATGAATAAAACTGCTAATAACATGGTTGGGCAAGTGCCCCTGTGGTATGATTTAGCATCCTTCAGATATATGAACAAGAGTGGTATAGCTTGCTCTTGAGGTAGATTGATTCCCTATTTTCTGAGAAATCACTATATTGATTTACAACATGGCTGTACAAGTTCATAATCCCACCAGAAATAGAGGAATATTTCCTTTGCTCCATACCCTCTCCCACATAAGTTGTTACTTGTATTTTTGATCTTAGCCATTTCTGACAGGTATAAGATGGAATATCAGAGCTGTTTTGATTTGTATTTTTCCTGATGACTAAGGATAATAAACATTTCTTTAAGTGTTTCTCTGCCATTTGAGATTCCTCTGTTGAGAATTCTATGTTTAGGTCTGTACCCTATTTTTTAATTAGATTATTTGTTTTTTGATGTCTAGTTTCTTGAGTTCTTTATATATGTTGGAGATCAGCTTTCTGTAAGATGTGGTTGGTGTTGGTGAAGATCTTTTCCCATTCTGTAGGCTGTTGTTTTTGTCCTATTGGCAATATCCTTTGCCTTAAGAAGCTTTTCAGTTTCATGAGGTCCCATTTATTAATTATCAATTTTTGTGTCTGTGCTACTGGTATCTTATTCAGGAATTTTTCTCTTCTTCCAATGTGTCTGAGGTTATTTTCCACTTTCTCTTCTATCATATTTAGTATAAATGGATTTAAGTTGAGATCACTGATCCACTTGGACTTGAGTTTTGTGTAGAGTGATAGATATGCATCTATTTGCATTCTTCTACATCCAGTTATGCCAGCACCATTTGTTAAAGATTATTTTCATTGTATAATTTTGGCTTTTGGGTCATATGTCCATAGGTGTGTTCAACTCAGTTCCATTGATCCGTCTGTCTGTTTTCATGCCAATAACTTTCGGGTTTTATTACTGTAGCTCAGTAATAGAGTTTGAGTTCTGGGATGATAATACCTCAAAAAGTTCTTTTATTGTACAGGATTATTTTAGCTATCCTGGGTTTCCATTTTTCCATATGGAAAATGGGGGTATATTTCCCTTGCTCCACACTCTCTCCAGCATAAGCTGTTATTTGTGTTTTTCATCTTTGTGTTTTTGATTTTGTGGAGTATTGCTCTTTCAAGATCTCTAAAGAATTGTTTTGGGATTTCTTTTTTGTTTTCTTTCCCACTATCTCCACAATCTCTCCCCCCTCCCATCCACTCCCATGGGTTTGGCTTCCCATGGGGAATAGAAACATTTATCACATCATTTGGTGCATGACCAAGGCCCTTCCCCTTGGTGGATAGGCTGAGAAAGGTATCCCTCTATAGGGAATGGGTTCCAAAAAGCCTGTTCATGAACTAGGGATAATTAATTACTGGTTCCACATCTAGTGGCCCCATAAAATTCCCAACCCCCACAACTGTCACCCACATTCAGGGTGTCTAGTTCAGTCCCATGAAGATTTCCCAGCTGTCATTCTAGAGTCAGTGAGGTCCTGCCTTCTCAGGTCAGCTATTTCTGTGGGTTTCCCTGACATGGTTTCTACCCCTGTTGGGACTTCCATAGGGATTGAATTGAATATATAAATTGCTTTTGTTAAGATTTTTTTTACTATGTTTATCCTACCAAGCCATGACTATAGGAGATCTTTCCATTTTTTGATATCTTCTCCAATGTCTTTCTTCAAAGACTTTAAGTTTTTATCAAACATGCCTTTCACTTTCTTGATTAGAGCTACCCCAAAATATTTTATATTGTTTGTGGCTATTGTGAAATGTGTTGTTTCCCTGATAACAATACTTGCCAAATTATTCCACAAAATAGAAACAGAAGGAACTTTGCCAAATTCTTTTTATGAGGCCACAATTACCCTGACACCCAAACCACACAAAGACTCAACAAAGAAAGAAAATTACAGACCAATTTTCCTCATGAACATTGATGTAAAATACTTAATAAAATACTAGCAAGACAAATCCAAGAACACATCAAAAAGATCATTCATCCTGGTCAAGTGGGCTTCATCCCAGAGAAGCAGGTATGGTTCAACATACAAAAATCTGTCAATGTAATCCACAATATAAATAAACTGAAAGAAAACAAAAAACCACATGAACATATCATTAGATGTTAAAAAAAAGCCTTGACAAAATCCAACACCTCTTCATTCTAAAAGCTGTGGAGAGATTAGAGATACAAGAAACATACTTAAACACAGTAAAAACAATATACAGCAGACCAATAGCCAATATCAAATTAAATGAAGAGAGACACAAAGCCACTAAAACCAGGAATAACACAAGGCTGTCCCTTCTCTCCAATATAATACTGAAAATTTTAGCTAGAGCAATAAGACAACAAAAGGAGACCAAAGGGATACAAATTAGAAAAGAAGTCAAGTAATGCTACTTGTAGATGACATGATTGTATACAGAAGCTACCCCAAAAATTCTACCAGGGAACTCCCAAAGCTGATAAACACCTTTAGAGAAGTAGCTGGATAAAAGGTTAACTCAAAAGCTCAGAGGCCTTCTTATATAGAAACAATTAAAGTGGTTGGCCTTTTAAAAATGTATTTGGATTTTGAAATCTGAGGGCTGTGCTGAGCCAGCCCTGTCCCTTACTGGTCCTGTGCTGAGAAGGCCCTGCCCCTTACTGAACACTGACAACAGCAGGAGAGCTGCTGCTCTCTCCCCTCCCATGGGAGAGTTGGCTCCTGAACTCAGGAGAAATGGTCCTACCCCTGACTACTGGCATGGGAGAACTGGCCCCAATGTCATTGCCTAGGAAAGATGCCTCTGCCCCTCACCTGAGAGGGACAGTCCCAGTGGTCAGGACCAACCAGGTCAGCTACCAACCACACTCGAATCCTAGGCCTTGGATTGGCACACCCTAGCTAGTATCTGCCACCATCTATGACAGCTGGAGTGTATGAAGGGACTGTTCCTGTAGACGGATAACTGCAGGCTCTCCATGACTCAGGACAACAGCAGGAATTTCAAAAGGCATTTCAGTGAGGATCCAGTGATAATGGTATGCCATAGACTCCAGACTAAGGACTCATTGCAATGAACATTTTGTAGATGGAGCTGATTGGACAAGGGTATATACTGAGCATACATCACTACTCCAGATGCCACTAGGATGAGTGAAGAGATGTTGGAAAGACAGAGGAGTATGGTGGGTTATTTTTGGTTTGTCTTGTATTAATTTTTTCCTGTTTTTTTTTTTTTTTGGTTTTTCAAGACAGGATTTCTCTGTAGCTTTGGAGGCTGTCCTGTAACTAGCTCTTGTAGATCAGGCTGGTCTCAAACTCACAGAAATCATCTGCCTGTCTCTGCTTTCCAAGTGCCGGATTAAAGGTGTGTGCCACCACCACCCGGCTTGTATTAATTTTTTGAGGGGATCATGTTCCAGGATTGAGGGGAAGATGTGGAGGGACTGGTAGGTTAGCAGTATTGGGGTATGTGATGTGAAATTCCCAAAGAACCAATAAATAATTATGCTAAAAATAAAAGTATGTTTGGGAATCAAATTAGAGCCTCATGCTTAATAATTATGCTTAAATAAAATATAAACAAACATACACACACAAAAAATTAAAAGTATGTTTGGGAATCAAATTAGAGCCTCATGTTTGCAAAGCAAGCATTTTACTGAAGGAGCTATTGCTCCAGCCTGAGAAAACTCTCTCTTTTAAATAACATCTCTCAAAATATTAGAAAACAATGTTGATACTCCATTCTTTTCTACTGACTTGATTTATAGTCCCTCTTTATCAATCTTGTTTTAAATATAAACTTTTATAATAAGTTTAGTTTACAGTGTGTGTGTGTGTGTGTGTGTGTGTGTGTGTGTGTGTGTGTGTGTGTGTTGAAAGACAATGTACATTTGTCAGTTCTCTCCTTCCACCATGCATATTTCTGGAGCTGAAGTCAGGTCTTCAGTCTAGGTGGCAAACACCTTGCCTACTGAGTCCTCTTTTCTACCCATATGTATTTTTTCCAAAAGAGAGTATGTTTTAAAATATTCTTAATAGGATCAAACACAAATGATAGAGATGCAATTAAAATTGTTTCAATAATACAGAAGGGGAAGAAAGAAAACCTTGATTGAGAAGCTGGCTTAGCCAGGGAGTAGCAGTTAGCAGTCATAGCTGATTTTAGATGTCCACTGACTTCAGCAGAAATAGACTCAACTTTCTTTCTCTTTCTTCCATACTGATGGAGTCTTTGGTTAGATATCCTCGTGAAGTAGAAAGATGTCTCTGCGAGCTTCCGTTTGATATTTGGCAGACTCATGACAGAACAGAACGCCTGCTGGAGCTTCATTTTGTTTCTGAGTGAACACTGAATCCAACACAACTTAAGGGAGGACAGGAGTTATTCAGCTTACACTTCCAGGGCACAAGTCATCACTGATGGAAGTCAGGCAGAAACTCAAGTAGGAATTGAAGCAAAACCCATTCAGGACCTTTTCTGCTGGATTTTTTATATGTCTGAGCTCAGCTTGCTTCCTACTCTCCCATCCAGCCCAGTCCCAACTGCCTAGGGATGGTAATGTCCTAAGTGTAACAAGCTCTCCAATATCAGGAATCAGCATAAGAAAAAAAACAAAAACAAAAAGCCCCCCAAACCAAAACCAAACCAAACAACACACACACACACACACACACACACACACACACGCACACACACACACACCAAACAAACAAAAAACAAAAAACAAAAAAACCACACTATCCCTTACAGACTCATGCACAGGTCGATCTGATGTGGGCATCACTCAATTTTGACTCCTCCAGATGACTCTAGGCTGTGTCAAGTAGGCCGGTAAAGCTAGCTAGGACAATGCATAGCCCCTAAAAGTTCTAGCAACATCTCTGTAATTTTTTTGTGACGTTGTTTCATATTGTACATATATATCCAAGAGAAGGATATCTGAGTCACATCAAATCATAAAAAAAAAAGTTGTAATCGATCACATTCAAAGCACCAAGAGCAAGACTGAGACTAGTCTTCTCTGTCAGGATGGGGTTGAA